CTTGAAACATTGCTTTTATGTAAAGTTTGAAATTTATAATGTTTAATATAAGTAAATTTCAAACTTTACATAAAAGCAATGTTTCAAGAAGAAATAAAAGCAACTTTTCAGATATACGTTTGGCTTTGGCCTTTCAGATATATTACTTTATCAGAAAGTGCTTTCATGGAAATGACTTTAAAGTGATATAATTTATTAAGTGTCATATTTAAGTATGTGGTTGAAAACATTTATTGTTATAAACTTATCATAAATCTATCATAGATTGATTGCCCTGATAAAATAGAGAATTTCGGTTTGATTAGCTAATGAAACATCCTAAATAATTATATTTTACTTAAATTAATTTTTAAACATAATTTTAATTAAAGTTAATAATAAATAACAAATTCATCAAAAATATTTATCAATGTAAAATAAAGTAAATAGTTTCATTCTAGAAATAAATACTACTAACTTGCAAGTATAAAAGTGGTAAACTGATTATACGTTGAATTATCTTTATCTGAAAACATATTTAACATAGATGATTTATGAAATAAATATAATTCATAATTATTATAAATATGAGTACTACGTGTTCATAAACGTGCTTATTTATATATCAATATAACAAAAGCCTATCAAACATTACCGTCATTTAGTTTCAAAATTTAGTGTAATAAATAAAAGTAATAATAAATCTTTAAAATGTCACTGAAATATGCCATTATTTTTTTATAATATTTATGTTTTTGTGTTATTATTTTGCCTATTAGTTTAACGTTTGCAATATCAAGTAATACCGGTAAGCATTTTTATAATAAACATGTTTTTAGATTAATTTATAGCATATTTTATAAGGCGTGATCCACAAAGTACATACGCACGCCTAGGGGGAGGGGGTTCATGCCAAAGCGATAAACAATTTCACTAAATTAAACACATTTTAAATCTTTTATCACAATTCTAATTAATAAAATTTTTGAATTGTATGTAACTATTATAAATTATTCAAGTGTATTTTTCTTATATTTATTCATAATTTATTTTATTGGTTTAAAAATTACTTTATTATTAAACTAAATAAATAAATATATTAATAGTTCAAATACAAAAATATCTATAAATAAATTAAATAAATATCATGCTAAATAATTCACAGCATACTAGTCCACACATAAGTTATCACAGATATAGCTACGGATACACAGGACAGCACCTGTACCACAGCGCCGTCGGGTTGCGGAGTTGTTGTTGTAGTCGAGTGATAGTCGTCATCATAACAGGAAGACCCAGTCTTACATTGACACCTACCAGCCCTACATTCATGCTTCTTATCCCACGGGAAATTACAACCCTTTTTAGCAACAACATTGTCGCACTGGTACTCCAGACATTTGAGCTCCTGTTCCGACCACCGGTAGTTTGTCTTACACCGACACTCCCCGTCCACACACCTCTCATTAGCGCCCTTACAGTCACTGGTAGACGAACATACCGGTGCCCACTTATACTCGCATTTGTTGCCATTATTAGGGTTTTCCCGATACAGGTCATTCTCACAGATACAGGTGCCCGATGTTTGGCTACATATGCGGTTATAGTCCCATTCGCTTGACTGGCATATGTGGGCAGCGTCTGTCCGGCAATCGGTTATGGCTTGACATTGACTCCCGACCCATTTATACTGGGGTTTACATTTGCAGTACTTGTCCACACATACCAGTGCTCCGGCGGTATCGCATTCACTGGTTGTAGTACATGACGTCCCAAAACTACCGTGTTGTCCATCATCACAGGTATACCCATCCATGCACTCACACCTACCAGCCCTACATTCATGCTTCTTATCCCACGGGAAATTACAACCATTTTTAGCCACACCATCGTCGCACTGGTACTCCAGACATTTGAGCTCCTGTTCCGACCACCGGTAGTTTGTCCTACACCGACACTCCCCGTCCACACACCTCTCATTAGCGCCCTTACAGTCGCTGGTAGACGAACATACCGGTGCCCACTTGTACTCGCATTTGTTGCCATTATTAGGGTTTTCCCGATACAGGTCATTCTCACAGATACAGGTGCCCGATGTTTGGCTACATTTGCGGTTATAGTCCCACTCGTTTGACTGGCATATGTGGGCGGCGTCTGTCCGGCAATCGGTTATGGCTTGACATTGACTCCCGACCCATTTATACTGGGGTTTACATTTGCAGTACTTGTCCACACATACCAGTGCTCCGGCGGTATCGCATTCACTGGTTGTAGTACATGATGTCCCAAAACTACCGGCGCCGTTACTTTTCAGGGTATTATTAGTATACCGGGCGCTCACTATTAGACACCCGCTTATAAGGACTGTTAGTTTGAAAAGCATTTTTAAGTAAAGTTTTTTCGTTGAATATTTAGACTATTATAGCAAACAATAGTAAATATAATTTAATTGTGAGAATTATGGTTTTATTTGTTACTTTATATATATTTTTATATCGGAAAGTGATTTCATACCTGACTTTAAATTATTTTATCAGCTACGTCATCTCAAGTTTGTGTTATTGTTTCACGGATTAAGTGTAATAAAATTAATTTGATCATAAATTGGCTAGATAAACTATATGTGTTGAGAATTCATGGTACAATAGCCAATAAAGATTATTGAACTAATACTGTATAAGGTTATTTTTATATTTAATTACAATTAATTAATTTAGAAATTTATATTATAAATACTAATTTTTTAAATTAATTATTTCATAAAGGAGTAGAATGCTAATTTTTAAAAATTCTAACAAATATATTAACTAATTATTAAGGTGCTATACTGGTTATAAAATGAATTATAGTTATCTATAAATATATTATATAATTCATAAAAATAATTCATCGCACAAATAATTTATATAATAATTATTGTAAGTGAGACGTATTGTAGTTACTCAGGGTGCTTAAAACGTATGCGTTATCAGTATATCTCATAAGATTTATGTGTACACAATGTGCACAGTAATATTATACTTGTGTTAAATATTATCTCAAAAATTTTTATTACAAAATATCATTTCAATAATTTATGAGTCACCATTTTACAAAACTTTATAAAATTATAATATATTGTCTAATTTATACGAAACAGTTTAGATATTTACTTGTGATTATTATAAATTTTTAACATATTATCATATTTATGAATAAACTGAATCTATTGCACTAATTCTGATAAATACAAAGTAATTTTAAAATAATTTTATTTATTAGTATAAGAATAAAAATTTTCAAACAATTACAAGTATTATAGAAGTTAAGCAAATATTTGTGAGTGAATATGAGCTAGTAAGGATTGTAAGTGTTTTAGATTTTTAAATCTGTATTTTAGAAGGAATTTTACTCTGGGAACTGAGTTTAGTTTCATTTTTGACGTTTATTTTTTAAATAAATAATTTTTTTTATAAAACAATTATATTATTCGTCTTATCTAATTTATTTTAGTTTACAAATTATTAATTAAGTATCCATAATCTGAAAATGGCTTGATAAAATATGGTCAATTAATAAAAGATAGAAAAATGTAATAATCTAAATAATATTGTAAACATTTGTACGAATATCCAACCATAACTTAACTGATAATTATATTAACTTTAAAATTATATGTGATTTATAATTACAGTTCAGGGGTTGACATTTTAAACAAAAATGTTGTTTAATATAATACTGGTATTTATTTCAACTGTAGTTTAAAATAAATTTTATTTTAAATATAATTTTTGTTTGAATTATTTAGTAAATTGGATAGTTAATGGACACCTATACTTTTTTAGATTACTATATTAAAATATATTTAAAAATAACTTTAGAAATCAAATTTATTTAAGCATTCTAAAATTACAAATAACAAATTGAAATGCTAATTATTTTAACAAATTATTAATCATTCAAAAAAATAACTTTACTTTAACTTTAATTTTAAAATACTGAATTCAACAAGTCCAGTGCACCATGCTGACAAGCCGCGGCAGTCTCTTTAAAAGGACCTAGCCACTTATTACCATACTGATTTTCAGCATTTCTAGCATGATTATACGCGCTATCGGCAACTTTATTGATATACCCTTGGTAAGGCCTATCTTTCAGCTCGCGATTCAATTCCCCTAAATTCCGCATAAATATGCCCTTAAATGACGGCCCATCACCGGTACACCCGTCCCCCTCGCCCACGCCCTCCACCAGTACCCCATCCTTATTGAAATAACCAGACTTTGTAATGGCGTCAGCAATCCGTTTGGCATCATCCAGGTAAGCTTGCTCCTTTTTAGCCTTATATAACTCGACAAGGCCACCCAGAATAACACCTTGGTTATAGGTGAATGTTGCACCGGCAGGCTTGCAATCAGCTTTCAAATCTAGCCCATCATTGATAAGGTGTTCCCCGTTGATCATACCGGTGCCTTTGAACCAGTTGTATACCTCAACAGCCTGACCAAGGTACTTTTCATCTCCTATTTTAATATTAATAGAAAATTAGCAACTATGAGATATTTGTGGGAACAATATTAATGTGATAACTGGTAATATTATTGTAAATATGCTGCCTATCATAAATTTTAAAAAAAGTAATATACCCTTGATACGATTGTGCAATGAGGCAGCCAATTTAATAAACAGTTCGTTGGTAATGGCATTTTTATAGCCTTTCTGGTTATTCCACCATAGGCCACCCTTACAGACATTGTCGTGATATGAATACATATAATCAGCATCATACTTGGCCATATCCAGGTACTTTTGCTCATTGGTCAAGTCAAACGCCCGGACCCACGCCAGACCCCACCAACCCGTGTCATCAATGTAATCATTGGTAAAGTCTTTTGAGCCCTGATAAGTTTATAATATATTATATAACGTTAATTAAACTAACACAGTGTAACATTATTTAGTATTATTTAAATAGTATTTTTAAAATGTAATTATTTTCTATTTTAAATATAAATGTTCAAAATATTGTTAAGGACATACCGCGTGATGACGACCTTTATCAAAAGTATTAACAATGTCATTCAGGTAGGTCTTGGTCCCAGTTAGTCGCATATAGTCAAGTAGCGAGGTCAAACAGTTGCCTGAGTTCCACCACCCGGCTGTATTCCATAGACCTTCATTGTTATAATATTTCATCAAGGCCCCTACAGCACCATCAGCCCGGCTATGGTCGATGGATTGACCAGGGCTATAATACAAGAATAGTTTTTAATTCTAAAATAATTAATAATTAAGGTTTTTTTTATAAAACATTTACCAGAATAGTGCCAGGCAAATTAATATGATATATACAAACATTTTATTAAAACTGTTTAAAATACGACTTTGTTAGCTATTTATACGTATTTGTTTGATCAGGTTGAGTTGAGAAATATGGCATATGTTTAATTATTAGTAGAAATTAACTGATAGATTAATCGTAAATATTTATTAAATTATATTTTATCTATAAAAATATTAACATCTGTGTTGAATGACTAGAATTTGAGATTTTTAAAAAGTAACTACAAATTAAAACTGTTTTACTATATTTCAATAATATAATGAAGTTAATTTATACTATGTTACATTTTATTACATTACCTAATATGACATTATATTTAAAAATTTCTAAAAATGAAATGAATCACACAATAGTTAAATGTTCATTCAGAAATATTTATAAATCTGTTGTGAGAAATCTACAAATGCTACTTCATAACGGATGCAGATAATTTACAAAATACCTTTTATATTTTTATCTACCATATTTTGTGTGGAAAATTTATGACTATTAAAAATTACAAGGAAAATTAAATTCCATATTTGTATTTTTAATTAAACAAAGTTTTAATTATAAAAAAATAAACATAATAATATCATTACTTATTAAGCATAATGAACATTAAATATCCATAGCCAGATAAACATTTAATTTTGAAAATGATATATTTTTAAACAAATATTATTTTATTTTTTATTTTAATCTGCTAATTTTTTGTAATTAATATGTAAAATATTAATTGAAAATTTAAATAATATAAATATTTATAAAAAAAATTATATTAAAATTTTTAAAAATAAACACTAATAAGTTTTTATGCAAAAATTATTGATACTTAAAATGTATATAATATATTATATATTATATACTGTGTCAATTAATAAACTATTATTTATTGTAATATCTTTTAAATACAGTTGAATTATATTAGAGTATTTATCTAAATCTTTTATGACATAAAAATAAAAAATCATATATAAATGATCACTAAATAAATAATCCATAAAATTAATAACAAAACTATTGATAAAAAAGTTATCTTGAAAAAAATATGGGATTGACTTTAAGACCCAGTCGGACCCAGACCCAGTCAAAGCGAGAGAGCTCCATTACTTTTTAATTATAATTAAATATTAATTTTTTATAAAGAAACTAAGATGTATTATAGTTTAAATTACTAATAATTTAATAATTATTAACTTAATTCAATTTAAATTGCTTTTTCACTTTAGTAATTTACCATTATATTCTCCATGTGCCATATGAAAGTGAGAGAGCAATTTAATTAAGATTTAATTTATAATTATTAAATTATTAGTAATTTAAACTATAATACATATTAGTTTCTTTATAAAAAATTAATAAAAAATTAATATTTAATTATAATTAAAAAGTAATGAAGCTCTCTCGCTTTGACTGGGTCTGGGTCCAACTGGGTCTTAAAGTCAATCCCAAAAAATATTTATATAAAATTACATTTGTTTGCACTATAAATTTTTTATAAAAAATATATTTTTTGCATTGAAAACTTACATATTTTACATATTAAAGTGAATTATGCTATTAACAAGTATTTCCCACAATTTGAAGTAACCATTATAAAATAATTATTAAAATAATAATAATATAAACAAACTATTCATAAAATATTTATGTAATTATAACTAGAATAATTAAAATAAAAAACAAATTGCTTGCCAAAGATAATAGGAAACCAGATGTTTGTGGCCAGTATTCATACACCTGTCTATTGCCTACATTCTCACTATATTTTTTCAAAATGTTATAAACTCACAAAATTTTATTGTAAATTTAGCTATATACTTTATACAATATCTTTACTTAACAGTATATTATATACTTAACAAATTATACAATATCTGTACATAATATCAAATATTTATTATTATTCATAATTCAATAATAAAATAATTAATTTTAAAAATTAAATATATTAATTAATTTTAAATTTCAATTAATTAAAATATTTTATGATTAAAAGACTTGTAAAAAGTTAGCCCAATATTATAAATTATGTTATTTTAAATAAAGTATAGAATACTTTTAAATTTATATTACAATTTATATTATCGTGTACTTTTAATTTTTATTAATAAACTCAATTCCATAAGGAATATTTTTAATAGTATAATTAAAAATAGCATCCAGACGCATAAGTACCAAACATAAAAATGATTATGTACAACAAACTCTGTACAAGTTGGTACCTGTCCTTAAGCTTAACACTATGCACGGCATCTATCATATCGTAACCACTATATCGATATCATCGTCCAGTTTTAAAATTTTATTTATAAACAGCATCTGTCCCCTCATAGTCACAAAATAGGAGGAGCCATTGGTTTGCTTTATTATAGTGAATTTAAAACTTATAACGTTTTGTAGTCTATTATTAGTAATAAATTATTTCTGTTGGTAAATTGTACCAGGTCGAATTATCAACATATCGAGTACGTTGGGTCGTTATTCCACGAA